CTGCATTGCTTCAGTTTTGTTCTGTTTTATTAGTTGTCTAAGGTGAAAGATCAGTTTATTTCCTTTTGCTCTATCATGACTGGAAGCAGAAATCTGTTTTGATTTCTATTTTAAATGGTGTTTTGTTGAGAATAGACTTTAGGGGGACAAGAACAGAAGCAGGAATACCAATGAGGAAGCTATTTCAGTTAATTTGGATAAGAGGTAGTGGTAACCTGACTCAAGGTGGTAGTGGTAGAAAATACTGGATTTTGGAAATATTTCTATATTAAAGCCAACAAGACTTATTGGAAAGGGTCCAAACTGACATGTAGGATTTATTTATTTTATCTTCATTTTGTATTTGAAGGCTTCATGAGAATTTATGTGAGTTGCTGAAGATCAAATCACTAATCTCAAACTCAGATCTTCTAACTCCAGAGTCTGTTTCTTCCTACTGAGCTACCTGTGCAGTAAAGCTACAAGTAATATCAAGCAAAAGAAACATTTTCCTGTTTGAAAAGCCAAAGGAGCATTACACAAAAATTGACATGAGTTTGCTGGTTCTTAGAGTATGGATAGAATTGGGTAAGGTAAGGAAGGAGGGCATGCTTGTTTAGAAGAGTAGTGTGAACCAAAGTGTAGTTGAAGTCTGGGAGGTATCTTTCTGCTCAGGAATTCCTGGGTCTGGGCAAGTTACCCAAAGTCCAGTGTGGTTTCACTCTGCAGTTACTCATGTTTAAGAACAACAACAACGAAACCTACAAAAACTGCTATAGGTGGGGCAGGCATTGGGGCAGGTATTGTGGCCAGTTTGATACCCAGCTACTTGTACTTCTAATCCAGCTTCCTGCTAATGTGCCTGGGAAGCACTGAATTATGGCTCAAGTACTTGAGTTCCTGTTAACCACAAGAGAGACCTGAATGGATTTCTTGGCTCCTGACCTCTGCCTCACCCTGCCTTGGCTGTTGTGCCCATTTGGGAGTGAACCAAGAGATCAAAGATCTCTGTTCTCTCTGTTACGCTGTCTTTCAATTTCAGTTTTTAAAAAGCCACAGGGCCTATAGTTTATTTCCTTGAATATTTTAATCTTATTTGCCCTCAGAATAAGAGATTGAATAACACTAAATATGTTTCTCTTTAAGAAAACACAAAAGACAAAACTTTCAATAAGAATCTTAACTAAGAAAAAGTAGATTATTTACAAAGACTTACTTTGAATGGCCATGTTAAGGAGTTTGAATTCTGTTCACAATGTGATGGGAAGCCATCAAGGAGATTTTAAGGAGGAAGACACATGACCCAATTTATAGCTTTAAAAATGTTATTCTGGCCAGTGGACAAAAAATAGACTGCTATATGAGGTTTGGGGAGGGATTGGACAGGAAGAACCAAAGTGGAAAGGCAAGATCATTCCAGAATCATTTACAGGGTGGGTAGTAGTAGGGATATAAGTAATGAAAATTGTTTTGGATGTGGGTATAAGCCTCATCAAACTCAACATGTAAGGTCTATGTGTTTTATTGAATGCAAATTATATTCCAGTTTTTTTTTTAAGGAGGGAGTTATAAATAATGTTAAATGATGTTGATAGCTTACGTTAGATGAGGACTGAGTTTACCATTGGTGGTGGTGATCTTGTTAACAGTCATTTCAATGGCAAAATGGAGATGTGTGTCCAATGTGGGCTAAAGAGAGAATAGAAAATGAGGAAGTGTAGACACAAGTGCAGAACCTCTGTATGGATTTGTCCTGAACAGGAGGACAAAGAAAGGAGCAAGGGTGTGGAGAGGTAGGGATTGTCTGTGAAAGGTTTTCTTGTTTAAGTAGGAAGACATGACAACATGTGTTTGTACTGATGAGAATAATCCAGTGGAAAGTAGAAATTTATGGTCCAGGAGGGAGTTGGGAGAGGACAATGCAGACAAAGATTGCTGGAATAGGGGAGCCCACTTAGGTAGGCACATGTTCTTTCCTACTATTATTACAGGTCTGAAAATTACTTTTGGGACACAGATTCTAGTGGGCTAGTTGATTTTTGTGTAGGAATATGTAGCTGTCTTTGTGTTATTTCTGTTTTTTTTCCCATCTTTAAAGAAAAAAGCAAAGTTGGCAGATGAGGGGGAACTCTGGGAAGGGTACTGGAAGTTTGAGGAGAGGATAGGAGTTAGCTGTCTTAGAAAAAGCATGAGCTTTTTTCATAAAGGGATATCAGCTTGCATGATTCTGGGCTTTCTTTGGCTACCCTTGGTTTCAGGGTTCAGCTGCAAAACAGATAGATAGAAAGTTGGGTTTAAAAGGGGTAGAATTTTATCAGGACTCTAGTATCTTTTGGGAGATAGTAAAGTTTCACTTAGTGTTGGAATTTAAGACAAGCATTCAGAAAAGAAATAGAGACTATAGAGAATTTGCTGATGACAAATTGAGTTTAAGCAGGCATGGAGGGGTCAGCACTGTGGTGTAGTGGGCTAAGTCTCCGCCTGCGGCTTCAGCATCCCATGTGGGCACCAGTTTGTGTCCCAGTTGCTCCTCTTCCAATCTAGCTCTCTGCTTATGGCCCGAGAAGGCAATAGAGGACAGCCCAAGTGCTTGGAGCCCTGTACCCACGTAGGAGACCCAGAAGAAGCTCCTGGCTCCTGGCTTCAGATCAGCCCAGCCTTAGCCATTGTGGCCATTTGAGGAGTGAATCAGTGGATCTGTAACTACCGCTCCAATAAATAAATAAAATATCTGTATTAAAAAATGCATAGTGTAATTTTGAAAGGTCTGGTGGGAGACTGTGTCGAGATGGGAGGCCTGGGGCTGGTATTGTTGTGCAGCAGGTTAAGCCACTGCTTGAAATGCTGGCTTCCCATATCGGAGTGCCAGTTCTAGTCCCAGCTGCTCCTTTTCCGATCAGCTTCCTGCTAACGTACCTGGAAAAGTAACAGAAGATGGCCCAAGTACTTGTCCCCTACCACCCATATGGGAGACCTGGATGTAACTCCTGGTTTCTGGTTTCAGCCTGGCCCAGACCCTGCTGTTGTGGTCACTTGGGGAGTGAAACAGCAAATGAAAGATCTCTCCCATCTTCCCTCTTCTTCTTCCCTCCCTCTCTCCTCCCTTACTCTCTCCCTCTGCCTTTCAAGTAAATAAATAATTTTTATGTCTTAAAAAATAAAGGATAGGTGGCTGGCACTATGGTGTATAATGTAAAGCTACCGCCTGCAGTGCCAGCATCCCATATGGGTGATGGTTTGAGTTCCGGCTACTCTACTTCTGATTCAGCTCTTTGCTATGGCCTGGGAAAACAGTAGAAGATGGCCCAAGCACGTACACCCACCTGAAAGGTCTGGATGAAGCTCCTGATTCCTGACTTGGGATCGGCCCAGCTCCAACCACTGCAGCCATTTGGGGAGTGAACAAATGGATGGCAGACCTCTCTCTCTCTCTCTCTCTCTCTCTCTCTCTCTCTGCCTTTTAAATAAATAAAAATAAATCTTTATAAAAGTAAAGGATGGGAGGCCTGGATGTATGATAGGGATTGCTGAGGTACTTAGGGTGTGGTTGGTTTCCTCCTAAAGGTTTCTTACAGGAAGCTCCCACATAAGCTCTTTGTTGAGATTGATCTCAATGCTTCAGGTCGCATTTCCAGTGCTTCCTTACCATAGTGTGTAAGTCCTGAAGGATCTGGCTGTGTGTTCCCTGTAGTTTCTGTAACCTTCTGCATTTCCTATCATCTCCCCTCTAACCACCCACTGTTGTTTTGGCTGTTTCTTGAATATACCAGATTTGTTCCTAATCGGGGCTTTTTACTTTTTAACTTTTTTTTTAACTTTACTTTTCTCTACCTCTTGTGTCTGGGCCCTTTGTTTCATTCATATCTCTGATCAAATACCATCTCCTTAGTCAGGTTCCCTCACTACCAATGCTTCCACTCCCTTGCTAGTCTACTTTCTTTTTCCTCTCTCCTCTCTTATCTCATAGCACTGTTCAATCCAGTTATGAGAACAGACACTTTCTCTAGTTCCCTGATGTTTCCTTGGTACCTAGAACCATGCCTAGTGCCTAATTAGGTGTTCAATAAATATGTGAATGCCAGACGTTCCTAATATCTTTAAAAGATAGAGTGACTTTCAAATAAATTTGTACATACTTTTTAGTAATAGATATATGAAAAGGCTTTTCATCACAATCTGGTTTTTGTCCAACCACAAGAAAAATAGCAGGCATTAACATATAATGCAAAGCCATTTTTATAGAAGAGAGACAGTGTTGTTCTGTAATTTATAGAAAAATAAGAATAGTGCTAAAGTCATTGACTAAACAGTTCTTTAACCAATAATTTCTGGCCCATGCCACAGCTCAATAGGCTAATCCTCCGCCTGTGGCGCTGGCACACAGGGTTCTAGTCCTAGTCAGGGTGCCGGATTCTGTCCCGGTTGCTCCTCTTCCAGTCCAGCTCTCTGCTGTGGCCAGGGAGTGCAGTGGAAGATGGCCAAAGTGCTTTGGCCCTGCACCCCGTGGGAGACCAGGAGAAGCACCTGGTTCCTGGCTTCGGATCAGCGTGGTACACCAACCACAGCAGCCATTGTGGGGTGAACCAACGTTAAAGGAAGACCTTTCTCTCTGTTCTCTCTTTCACTGTCCACTCTGCCTGTCAAAACATAAATAAATAAAAATAAATAAATAATTTCATAGACTAAGTTCACAGTTTCATTTTTATAGGGAGAACATTATTTTTATGATATACGAGAATATTTTGACTTTTTTTAAATTAAATTTGCAGCAGTCATTCTTTATTAAATATTTGCATTTGTTTGGGGAGCAGAACTAAACATTGGAGAAGTACAATGGCAATATGCAATTCAAGATAAAAGTCAAACCAGTGATAGATATTATTCTAAGGTCAGACCCAGTAAATTATAGCATCAAATAGGTACACACATTTAGCACATAGAATGATGTTATCCTTCTGCTTCTCAAAAGCCACTCAAAGGCTCCAGGCCCCGTAGTAACTGGCATTCTCTTTTCATTGCAGTTGTCGGACAAGTAACCGCAAGAGCTTGATTGTGACCTCTAGCACATCACCAACACTACCCCGGCCACAGTCACCACTTCATGGCCACACCGGTGAGTGTTTGAAGATTCAGAAAGGTTGAGTGAAAGCCTGGCCGCAGGTGCCAGATTTCTGTCCTACTTCTCACTTGGTGCAGTTCAGTATATTACATTGTCACTTGACTGACTGAAATACAGAGCTTAGAGGTTTGTTTTCTGTAGGAGAATGTTTAGTCTGCTTTGACGCTTAAGTTGTTTCTTGTTTGCTTAACATTCCTTTTAGTCTTTTATGTACCTTGGGGTCTGGTATTTACCTTGAATCCATGACCACTATTCTAGTTTGTTCTAGGGTGTTTAAGGCTCCAGTCATCTTGGGACATGTAATGAGGAGTCTGTTAACCAATTGTCCTACCATGCCCAAGGATCAGGACTCATGGAGAAGATTTTCTGTCCCGTGGGACTCTTGTTAACTTTCTGCCTGTTAGATTACAAGGCAACAAAGGCAAGAAGAATATTTGTTTCTCATTGACTTTGATTTCACATACTGGAATTGAAGCAAATGACCTCATGAATTTAGACTCTGTCTAGATGTGGGCTTCTCCAGACAGTGTATGAGCTGGTTTACTTGCCTTTGTTTGAGGCATATATTAAAAATTATGGACCTTGCATTGGTTTAGGCTGACTGTACCTCCCAAGGGAGAGACAGAAGACTTTATTTGAGTTTCATTTGTGTTTTGGCCTAGATATGTATTCTTGCAATTTGTTGGAGGGGTTACTGTACTGCTGTGCTGTTCATTGCTACATTGTTTCCAATGGAACCTAGGGTTAATGGAAATAGGTCAGGCTTGGAATCATAAAAAGCTGTTCTGGGCTTGCTGCCTGGGTTTGGCAAGCTGTAGATACTGTTGTCCTAAGCCTGGTCATTGTCTGTCATTAGATAATAAAAGAGGAATATCAAAGCAATGAAACAGGACAGCATCAAGCTGAGTAAGATAGGTCCATTCCTCTTTCACAGCTGCTCACAGTTTACTGAGAAAGATGGTGTTTATGCATGCATTTGCAGCCCCTGAGGGCATTGAGAGTCCTGATTCTGAAACTGAACTTTGCCCTGGGGAGAAAGGTCCCTCTTGGACCTAGATAGTCTGAGCCTAGTGGCAAGCTATTCAGGGTATTCTTGGCCATTTAACAAGAATCAATTAACCTCTCAAATAACCAAGAGCACAGGGGTCTTGGAATTGGAGACATATTTGATCTTTGAAGCAAAGCTCTTATTGTGCCTAGATACTTTCTGCCAGAAAATTGACTGGGTCCTGGATTAGCTTAAATAGCACAGGATACCCTAGAACTTTTTAAGAACTCAGCAAACATGATGTGACATTTTTTTAAATCATATAGAAATAAATTTAGCATGTCTAAACCTTGACATAGTTTCACAACTGTAATGTGAGTACCGGGTAGTAATTACTACTGACTGTTCCTCTCTAGGATGATTATCTCTCTAGAGTCCTGGCAGTTAGAATTTGGGACTAAATCTTTCCTACTCAAGTGGCTTTGATTGAGAACACCACCTGCACTTTTCAGCCAGCCTGGGTCTGTGGACTTAAATTTGAGTTAATATATGTAGTATGCTTAATTCTTCATAAATGTCAGTGTCCTCTTCTTCATCTCTTAGTAAACCACTGGAGAAAATCCAGGGGTGAGGGATAGACATAAAAGCCCAGTCCGTGGACTCTGTTTTGATCTTTACATTTTTCCTTTGTTGTTTTGAGTATTTATTTGATTTTATTCCACTTTATATCATTTTATCATCAGTTTATACCTTTTAAAAATGTTATCCTAGAGTTTGCAATATAAATTGGTAAGTGATCCATCCTACATACCTGTGTATCGTATCTCCTTATAATAGCAAAATATACCTAAATCTTCCCTCTGGTCCCCTGTTTCATTGGTGCCATTCATTTCACTTATACATATGCATATATGAAATCTACATAATCAAATACATTGTTACCATTATATTAGACACTATGAAAGAGGTTATATAAATTAAGTAAGAAAATAAGTTTTTTCATTTTACCTTTATTAATTTTTGATACTATCTTTCTTGAAAAGAGCTCAGTTTCTCACTCATAATTTTCCTTCTTATTGAACAACTTATCATTTCTTGCAGAAAACATCTACTGGTATCAAGTTTTCTCTTTTTTTTTTTGAGAATATCTTTATTTCTCCTTTACTTTTTTTTAATAACTAGATATTTTCCTTAAAAAAGAAAATTTTTATTTGTTTGAAAGACAGAGTTACAGAGAGAGACAGAGATCTTCTATCCGCTGGTTCACTCCCCAAATGTCCACAGCCAGGAGCTAGGAGCCAGAAGCTTTGTCCAGGTCTCCCATGTGGGTGCCAGAGGCATTTTCCACTGCTTTCCTCAGGCCATTAGCAGGGAACTGGATTGGAAGTGGAGCATCTGGGACAATAACTGATGACCATATGGTGGTGACTTAACCTACTACACCACAATGCTGGCCTCTCTCCTTAACTTTTTTTTTTTTTTTGAAAAAAATTTTTTAAATTTTTATTTATTTATTTGAAAGTCAGAGTTACACAGAAAGCAAAGGAGAGGCAGAAAGAGAGGGTGTTTTTTTTTTTTTTTTTTTTTTTTTTTTTGACAGGCAGAGTTAGAGAGAGAGAGAAAGGTCTTCCTTTTGCCGTTGGTTCACCCCCCAAATGTCAACTACGGCTGACACGCTGCAGCCGGAGCACTGCGTCAATCCGAAGCCAGGAGCCAGGTGCTTCTCCTGGTCTCCCATGCGGGTGCAGGGCCCAAGCACTTGGGCAATCCTCCACTGCCTTCCCCGGGCCACAGCAGAGAGCTGGACTGGAAGAGGAGCAACCAAGACAGAATCCGGCGCCCTAACTGAGACTAGAACCTGGGGTGCTGGTGCCACAAGTGGAGGATTAGCCAAGTGAGCTGTGGTGCCGGCCGAGAGAGGTCTTCCATCCCATGGTTCACTCCCCAGATGGCTCCAACAGCCGGAGTTGCACTGATCTGAAGCAAGGAGCCAGGAGCTTCTTCCAGGTCTCCCATGTGGGTGCAGGGGCCCACGGACTTTGGCCATCTTCCACTGCTTTCCCAGGCCATCGCAGAGAGCTGGATCGGAAGTAGAGTAGCCGGGGCTAGAACCGGCACCTCTATGGGATGCCGGCACTTCAGGCCAGGGCGTTAACCCTCTGCGCCACAGCCCTGGCCCCTCACCTTCACTTTTGAAGGATAATTTCACAGGGTACAGAATTCCAAGTTGGTCTCTTTCCAACACCATTATCTTGCTTGTGTGTTTTCTGAGAAGTTCAGTGTGGTCTTCTCTGTGATCGTTCATGATAAGATACTGTTTTCCTTTGGGTTCTCTTTCAAGACTTTTGCCTTAATCTTTGATTTTCTTACTTAGAATATGATATGCATGTGTGGTGTTTCTTTTAGAATTTATCTTGCTTGGTGTTTTCTGATCTTGGATCTGTGGCCTGGGTGTCTGATGTTAACTTAGGGAATTTTTGTTATTGTTGCTTCAAATAATTCTTCCGTTCCTTTCTCTCGTCTCCTTTTTTTTTTTTTTTTTAAAGATTTATTTTTTTATTTGAAAGTCAGAGTTACACAAAGAGAGAAGGAGAGGCAGAGAGAGAGAGAGAGAGAGAGAGAGAGAGAGAGAGATCAACTCCCCAATTGGCCGCAGTGGCCGGAGCTGCGCTGATCTGAAGCCAGGAGCCAGGAGCTTCTTCCAGGTCTCCCACATGTGGGTGCAGGGGCCCAAGCACTTGGGCCATCCTCTACTGCCTTCCCAGGTCTTAGCAGAGAGCTGGATCAGAAGTGGAGCAGCCGGGACTAGAACCGGCACCCATATGGGATGCCGACACTGCAAGCGGAGGCTTTATCCTCTAGACCACAATGCCGGCCCCTCTTCTTGTTATATTTCTGTCATGTTACATCTTTTGCAGTTGTCCCTTGGTTCCTGGATATTCTGGGGGGATATTTTTTCAGTCTTTTTTTCCTTTGGTTTTCAGCTTTGGAGGTTTCTAACATCATATCTTCAAGCTCAGAGATGTATTTCTCAACTGCATTCAGTCTACTAATGAGCCCATTTCAAGGGCTTTCTTCATTCCTGTTACACTGATGTTTTAAAAAATCTCTAGCACTTCCTTTTATTTCTTTCTTAGACTTTCTATCTCTGGATTGGCATTGTGGCATAGCGGGTAAAGATAGCACATGCGATGCTGGCATCCCATATGGAAGGCAGTTTGTGTTCCACCTGCTCTACTTCTGATCCAGCTCCCTGCTAATGGCCTAGGAAAAGCAACAGAGGATCACCAAAGTATTTGGGCCCTGCCACCCATGTGGGAGACCTGGATGTAGTGCCTGGCTCCTGGTTCTTGGTTTTGGCCTGGCCCAGCCCTGGCCATTGCAGCCATCTAGGAAGTGAACCAGTGGGGTGGAAGATCACTCTCTCCCTCTCTCTCTGTAGTTTTGCCTTTCAAATAAATTAATTAATTTTTAAAAGTAACTGAAGTAATAGGTCTTTAATAATATGGTGGTAAGGTCTGGGGAGAGGAGAGGTGTTTTGTGGCACTATGATTAGGTTTCAGTCTTTTGGCAAACCAGTGTCCCTGGGCTGTGAATTTCATCAGTGCTTCTTTGTTTTATTCACGTACCTTAGGTGAGACTGCATGGCTGTAGGAGGCTGGAATTGGGTGTTTACTAATAGGTTCTCCTGAGGGAGGCCTTGTTAAGGAGAACAGAATGCTCTGATGTTTCATTAAAAAAGAGGGAGATCCTTTCCTCTGCTGATGTCATGAGAACATTTCCCTCAGTGTTCACCGTGAGGACACGGTACATGGTAGAGATACTGTGGATAAAACTCAACGAAACTGTGAGAACCCCTACATGAGTTTGTGCCCCTCGTGTTTTCACTCTCCGTGCAGTCCATGCTGAGCCTTTGACAGTTCATCAGGTTTTTCTACCCTGGCCCTGGTTCCCATGGAAGTTTCTGTTTTTAAGTTTCCGTAAATTATGATTTCTAGTTCTACAT